AAAAATGACCTTTATTTTATCACTTTATTATTTATATCACTTTGAACTGAAATACTCTTGCTTGGTTTCATCCACGTGACAAATATCCTTGGACTATCTGAGGCAAATCACATCAGACATCTGGATTATTCAAAAGAGCTAAGGAGAGGAAATATATTTTCGTAGCTGATGCAGTTTTGTTTAGTAGCAAGGATATTTTTAGAATACAGAAGGAAAAATACCAGGCAGGAAAAGGCTTGTAAAGGAACCCCAGATAAAATGCCAGAAATATAGCAGATGTATGCAAAACCGAACAGCTTAGGAGGGCCAGATAAACCTTTAAACTGTTATGTTCCATACTGTCCTAGCATTAATAAGAAGGCAGCAAGATAGATATATATAAATCTTAAATGATGAAGAACAAACAACATTTGATACTACTGCATCTTTGGTTGCCTCCATTTCAGCATCTGACAAACCTGGTGTTGAAGGAAAGAAATATTAGATATCTATTTGAACGAATAATAGAGAGAGAATATAGAATTGGACCATCACTGTGACCACTGAGAAAGTGGTCAGGGTTGGTCCTCTACTAGAATGGCACACAGAATTACAGAGACACTATGCATACTACTGGAGAAATACATCCCTATCGCAAAAATACCCAAAGTACAGTAGAAGCACTCCGGAGAGAAAAAAACAGTAACAACAGATGAGGAGAAAGAAGAATAGTGGATTAAGAATTACTCTGAGCTCTATGAATGCGGATCTGTGAATCAGTCCTCAAGAAAGACAGAGAAAATGCTGATGGACATTTTAGATATGTGCTGTGCTAGGAAGACTTGAGAGTCATGACAGAAGGTTATGGAACCAACAGAGACTGCATGAGACATTCCTCCATGCAAATAAGACAATAAGACACAGCCAGCAGAAAATTATTAATAATTTATATCAATAACTCAGTGGTGATTACAGCTTTACTGCAGCTTTACAGTGTAGAGAGATTGAGGAATACTCCTGTAGTGTCGTCAAGGTAACCCGCAAGTATGTATGTGTGCAATTCTGTTGGCATTTATATCAAACGAGGGAGAACCAAGGAAATGAGAGCTAACATGTGCAGAATGTGTGTTTCCTTACAACTGAAAAAGCTGCAACTTTTAGTTGGAGAGCAGTAAGAGCTGGAGTAAACGTAGAAGGAATTGTACGCCAGAGCTCACTAATTCCACAGAGGTGGAGTTTTCTCCCATGTTTAAGACCAACAGCATAGGAAGAGGGCACAGAAAATCAGGCTACTTTCAGATACACTGCTGATATACTATGAAATGATTGACTGCTGCTTTAATTCCCTAAGTGCTACATATATATCTTGCGGTCATATTTTTAGCATCGGTACTCATGCTACCCACTACATATTTTTGCTAATTATTTATTATTTAAAATGATGTTTCTGAACTCTGATTTGAATCATGATTCCTTACCAACTAGAGCACACATAAGCACTTATTTTTTCATTCATGCTACCTTCTTGACCAGCTAATTAGAAGAGGAATGCAAAAAGGTGGTTAACACAAATGAACTTTACTTTACAAAAGAGGGACAGAGAAGCAGAAGAAGGGGTAAGAGCCCACACTCTGCCAGTTACTGAAGCTCCAATGAGATGTGACAATTTGTTGAGCTGTGACCAGCTCCTAGCACTGATCCATCCTTGAAAACAAGCTGCTTCTGGCACCAATATGATGCTGGACTGCTCAAAGCCTCTTAAAGCCTCCTTCTCTTCTGCCCGCCCTCCTCTTTTACAGGCCTGTCACGGACAGCCGCAGAGCCACACTCGGAGAAATCCCTGGGGTTCTCTCTCCCTGCTCCCCAAAAGGGCAGTTTGTCCCATCAGCATCCACCAGAACTGTGACTGATTAGGGACAAATTCTGCATGGTCTGGCCTTATATAAAGCAAGAAAAAAAATCTCATAATGATTCACAGTAAAATCTAAAAAAAGCAGTATAATGATGCTAAGAAATCTAAAAACATAAAAAGACAGAGACTCTTAAGGCTCTGTTTTAAAGCCTACATACTGGTAAGTAAAACTAATAAAGCATTTGCAGTGCTAATGAAATTTGGAGTATACAATGAGATAATTCTCTTTTTAATAAATCATGCTTTTGTGTGTAGCTTTTGAACTCAGCAAAGACACATGATTTCCCATGCGTTTCTGCAATACTATGCTGGAACATTACAGACAGAGACAAAAAATTAATCTTGTCAGTGAGCTCCTATTTACTGTGAAGTATTTTGTTACTTAGTAGTCACTGTACTCTCCAACATTCACTGTGTGCAGATGAGGTTCCCACAATTGACTCAAGCAGGGCTTACGCAGAATTAAATTCAGCCACAGGCACGTAGGAGTAAGCTCTTACGAGGCTCAATGGTAACTGTGTCCACTTATGGAGAGCCATCTCTCATGTCCTTAGACCACAGACATTATGTGTACACTTAAACACAGTGATGTCATTCTAACTTGCTGCTCTGATGGACATCCACCAATTCAAGGGCTTTCTGCTATACCACAGTTTTCACCTACCCACCAAACGAAACAGTGCGGTAGGTTAAATCCAGGTGATACCATCCTACCACCTCCCAGATCCTCTCAGTCTGGAACATAAATTTTCCCTTAAGTGATGTTGAAATATATTTGTGATGAAATGTAGGCAGGGCACTATCTTTTCCAGTCCAAAGTTTTAGAATTATGTCTAAAAAAATAAACAAACAGAAGGTAATCCTGACCAAGCAGCAATTTGCACAGGGTTAATAAGCAAAATGATTGCACCAGCAGGACTTTCCAAAACAAGCTGCTTTAATTTCAGGACTTCGGAACAATTTACAAACCACTACAGAAATTCTAAACGTATTCTAGAGCCAGAGACAAAAAACCCCAACTGAATGTGTAATTTATTTAGGCCTGTTAACTGTTAAAACACTCAGAATTGGAATACAGGCAGAAAAAATGCCTGGCCCATGTAAGGCAATCCACACAAAAGCCCTAAGAATCCAGGAGATCCGTTGCAAATCTTGTCCAAAAATGTATAAACTTCAATTTAAAACTGAATCTCCTTCAAGTCATTCTTAGTGTCTCAGATATTCATCTACGATTCTGTAAGCCCAAAGAACAAATACATTGGGCTAAAAAAGGAACTCGGGATCCTCAGGGACATCCTAACAAAAAAATCTGATTGATTGCTGTCCTATATCAACCCTTTCAGCCACATTCACCCACAAATCCCTACAAGACTCAGTCTCACAGTCCCTTTCCAAATACAAGATGCTTATGAGTGTCAGGTCACACTCCCGAGCCTACAGAACCAATACTGACACAGCTGAACTGTCCTCCAAACTAGACTTCAAAATCTTCAGCCACAGTCAAGGTGTAGCACTTTTGCAGAAGAGCCCTCTGGGTCACTCACTGTTGCCCCATTTACCCAGATATCCCCTTGGGAAGGGAATACCTCTGTACTGCCCAAAAAAGTACAGAGCCACAGAGCCGAGCCATGGCAACATCACTTAGATGTCCCAAAGACATCATGGCAGCACCCTTTCTCCTGGGAGATGCTATTAGGATGGACTGCATATGAGTGATATCTTCAGGGAACACTGCAGAGAGGACATGTCAATGCCTACATGGCTTTGGTCACACAGGGCTGCAAAGATGCTGGTGGAACCTCAGTTTCTGACCAAAAGTTTTGAAATATTCCAAAGAAGAGGTCTGCTTGACAAACTCCACCAGCACTGCAAAGTTAGGGGAAACAGCTAACAAAGAACCATGTTTACGGAAATGAAAACCCAGCAGATATGATTCAATGCCCTCAACCAGCACCTTGGCAAATCTGCCTGAATACAATGTGAGTCTGTCTGTTTTCACAGAATAAAGGGGACATAAGTAAAGGGGAAGGGCTGTAGGCAAGCCAGCCTCAGATGTTGGTCTGAGAAGGGGTTGGGATCACACAGAGGACAGAAGTGGCTGAAACTCAAGATTTTCTGCAAGAAAAAAATTCAGAATAGCTTTTGATCTGCCTAAGAATAAAACTGATTTTAAGAATGTCACGCACAATGGGAATTCTGAAATATTGTACTGAAAAACATTTAATAAAGTATTTTGCTCCAAATTCCTGAATGAAACCCTTGGGTGGCTCAGAAAAATGACAATGGCTAGCAATAAATTATACATCTATTTGAAAAAATTATAGATAAATGTCCTTTGTTACCTTCAGCTGCAGCAAGGAAAATCTAATCATCAGTTAATATTTTCTATTCAGCTTAATAGCTTGTACTTTTTAAACAAGACTACAAACTGTACCATGAATACTTCCTTTGCCCATGGGAAGAAATGAACTACAGAAAGCAATCAAAGATTCTCAGTGTTTGACTTTGCTTTTGCAAAACAACCTAGTTAGAAGTCTCTAAGGAGATATTCTAGAATCAATTGCATTAAATTACGTTCTGAGAGACCAACAGTAAGTCAGAATATAAACAAAGCACAAAAAAGCCATGTTTCCCTTAGTAAAATGAGCATGTATTATCAAAAAGGCAATTTGCAGTTAATACTGGATTGGATTCTGGTCTTATAGTGTAAAAGTTGAAGATTTGAGAATTATTTTGAACAATTCAACATTTAGGAACCAAACCAGTCTCACTTGTTTTGATCTTTGGTTTTAAAGAGAAATCAGAATTAAGATCTATTAGGTCTACTTCAGATTTCTTTCAGATTCTAGTCTGTTCCCATGACCCCAATCATCCAGGACTTTAGCGATTAGAGGAACATAGGTCCATCACGAGTGTATGCGAGTCCTTTCCAATGACTGAATATTTGCACCACTAACAAGAAGGGATCTTTTTTTTAGCACTCTCCACACAGTTGAGGTTGTGCTTACCACCTTTTAACTTGGCTGTACACATCACAGATTGGAAATGAAAGAAGCAGGGCCAAAATTCATGTAACAAGAAAAAAGGTAACACCTTGAGCAAAACATACCTTTGTGGTATATAAAACATGTGCTGCGGAGGGGGTTTGTAGAGAACTCCTTCATACACAGGCCACAGGCCACTTAAAATTCTGAAGAGTGAGCTCTTTCCACAGCCGTTGGGTCCAGTGATTAAAAGATTCATCCCCTCCTGGACCTACAATAGCAATGAAAATGCAAAGATGTTACTATGCAGTATATGTAGCACAAGACAGTCTAAGACCCATAGAGGGAGTCACATGAGCATTTACATCAAATTATCAACCCATTTCATTAATTACCTGCACATATTTATGTAAGTATTCTGGAAACAGGGGTATTAGGTATAATATGTGGGTTGCAATAATGAAAATAATTTCTATAATGTCTGAGTATTTCTATAAACTACACTGATGATGTGACAATGTCAATAGACCACAGTCAGAATCAATTATTCTAATGCAGATTAGGTCCAAAGGTGTTAATGGCGTACAGAGCAGTGCTATGCCCATCAGTGCTAGTAATTTAAGCTACAGGAGCCTGATCAAATTTGGAAAATTTACTTTACATTGCCTTTTCCCGCTTAATTACCAGTGTTATTTTGGCTGTGATACACTTGTTTCTACTCACTGAAATATTACCCTGTGTATATATGAATGTATATTTTTGCATAATCACAATGTCATTGTCTATGCTTTACATAAATATATTGACTGTTATATTTTCTGTTGCTTTTGTCTCTTGAGCCAAATGAATAAATATAAGTGTCTTCTTGACAATGAAGTTGTAATTTTACAAATTCCTACACTGAAGCCATTGCAAGTTTTGCCATAGCTAGGACCCTGACCTCCTAGTTGCTGATTCCTATACCAACAGAGATGGCAAGAAGAATACTCTGCTTTAGCTAAATTAAAAGAACTGCTGGAATTGTTCGTGTTAGTGTTCTGATAACTTCAACTCTTTTTAAAAATAATAACATTTGCACTGGAACATAAGATCAGGACATATATCGGACTAATTCAGTAAAGGCCACCTATTAAAATTGTAAGCAGGTACCGAGTGGTATGTGGAATAGCTTTTTAAAAACAATACAAGTTTTTACTGAATAAAGACTTCCTGGTTGGGCTTGTGAACTATGCTGTCGACTATTAGTTAGTACTGCTCTTTGTGGTGATCAAGCAAAACTACAGACTCAATTTTTTCACTGCTGCTGTGAACTCAGACTTTCAAGGGAGCCAATGTGAGTAAAGCATCCCAATTTCATTGAAATTAAGTAGATGGATGCAGACTCCGATACCCCTTTGAAAATCTCAGATCAGTTTTCCATCTGGCAACAGCACCAGAAATCATCTCTTCTGTTTCTTTGAGCAGGATAAACTATATATGTCTGCCTCTATTGAGCTACTATGCCTACCTTTCTGGACTTCCCCTTCTATCCATATGCTCCTCCAAGTACTTAACATAAGGTACATGAATTCTGTGCTGTTTATGTTAATGTGATGGCAACAATCAGAAGATTCTTGCATATCATCTTACTTTGAAGTTTAGTCTGGAAACCACCACATCGCCATTCGGAGTAATAATAGGAACATTTTCACAAATAATTCCATGATCAACATCAATAACTTTCCCTAGTAAGAAAAAAAAAAGAAAATAATAATTAGAGTTTGTGAAATCTTCAGTTAAGCAACGACATGTGACAGTCCGTGTGCATGACTGAGAAGTATGAATTGGTGAGTTTCAAACAACTCTTTCATGTGCTCCAGGTTTCCTTAGTGGAAAATCTGAATAACAAACTACTACTACTTTTTAGCTACTTACAAAGACACTGTCAGCAGTAGCCAAGAATTTGCAATGAATCCTAAATTTCACCATAAATATAAAGCACAGTATGCATCATAAATACATAATGCACTACAAAGACATGTTTATTCACATTCTAAGTGTATTTACTGTATTTTGTTTTAAATAGGTGGTCAATATCAACCAGTAAAAAAGTTCAAGGACAGCCTTAGCCACAGGCAGACCAGTTTACCTTCTCTTGAGGATCTAACTAGAAAATGGAATCTACTTTCACTACCAGCTCTGAAACTCAGAACCCAGTTCAGTGTCCTCCAGCAATGAGAGTATGGAGAAAACATTTAGTGGCTTGCTTCCATCTCTTTTTGAAGCCACAGACACTGAAAATGTGACTTGTAAGTATTTGAGGAAACCCATATAACATTTCACTTCAGTAGCTACACTTACTATTTGGATTTCTGGCAAATTTAAATATACAATCTCAATCGGACATCTGGATACCCTGTAACACAAGGACTTTGAAATAAATTCTTCTGGAAACAGTGAAAAAATGAAACCAACTGTAACTTCTCAGTTGCCCCTTAATGGGCTTCTCTAACAGAAGCCAAACAGCTGGGCTCCTAGAGAAATATCAGAAATTACCTTTACAGACAATATGTAAAGGAAAGAGATTTCTCTTTGTATTAGAAGGCTGCTTATTTTACAACTTAGACTAATGTGAATACAGAAAAATGGAACTAAGGAAAAGTTGAGTTTATTACAAAAGGATCTGGTAGCATTTCCTTCAGTTAAAGTTACTTTTACATTTTCCATTAAGAGGTTCTTTGTTCAATTGCTTCCAACTTTGCCAAATCGTAACAACCTGGGCAAAAATTTCTGTGCCATGTATCAGCCCAAGCATTCTTTTTTTCCTAAAATAAGTTTTATTCAAAACAGTTCTGTGGTGTCCAACATGAGATTATAGAAAACAAAAGTGTTTTGCTGTTAAAAAAAATTACTTGGATACAGTGGAGAAATTCTAATTGAAATAAATCTAAGATAAAAAATAGTAAGCTAAATAAATATTAAGTACACTTAATTCTCATTTCCTAGCTTCACAGTGTTTGATTGCAACTTTAGCATGCTTTTAAAGCATATTTATGTGTAATCATAAATACAATTTGACAGTATTTGTACAAGATGTACAAAATTCTATTTCAACTTTAAAATTCTGAATTATTAGATACACTATGTACAAGGCAATATTATCATCTGTTAAAAATATTCTAATAGTTTTCATATTTGCACAATGCTGTTATTGACAACAGTAAATGCAAGGCACAAAACACACATCCCTTAGTTACATAAACTTATACTAGATGATTCAAAAGGAAATAAGTAGTATATGTTCAAAGAGCCTTCGGGAAAGCTGAATATTAAAATTTTCCTTTTCTAACAACGCAGACACATATACGTATGCGAGCATGTGTACTTTTATCCACATACAAATCCACTCTGCAAGGATTTCTGAAGTATCAAGACCAAAAGAAAGAAGGAAAAACAGTATTACAATGGGACTTGTCATAAAAAGTTTGGAGCCTGTGGCCTAGATTCACCTGGCCTAAATTCTACTTAAGTCCTTGTGCCCAATGCTTGGTCTTGGCTTGCTGCCCCTGAGAGCCTACAACCACTCAGGAGCAAACACTAGTCACCACGACTTAGGAGGAATTCAGGCTGGATGAAATGTGTGACTGTGGTGGAATCAAATCTTGGGAAAAGTTGCAGAGAAAAAAGGAGTGGGATCTAAGTATACCAGAACAAAAGGGAATGTGAACAGCAGGCTTGCATATTTGAACTGTATTTGGTTTTGATTTTAAAACAGAGTTATCTAAAAAGAGCCCCCAAATTACTTTATTGTTCCAGGAACTACAAACCTTTTCTCTTGGACTTGACAAAATGTAACAGTTATAAAATGTCCTTTCTTTTAATGTCCGCCAAATATTACCAAGATGCAAAAGATAAAGACATCAGCTGTTTCCACAGCTATTTACCATGCTGCATAAGATTGTTAGTTATGAAGAACCTTGCCAGAGGACCTTTGAGCAATTTGTGCTGAAGGGTAGCACTGTTGAAATTGTTGAAAGAAGTTATTTCATAAAGAGCACTTTGGTGCCTTCAACTCTACTGAGTTTTCGGAAGCCAAAGGGAGGGAACGAGGCTTTTCAACACCACAGAGGGGAGAAGCAGAAGGGGTCTGTTGGGAAAATTGGGAAAAGCCCACTGCAAAAGCTGCCTTTAAGTACCTGAGAGAGAAGATGGATGCAAGAGGAAGAGAGAAGTGGCACATAATGGAGCACGATCAGAAATGGATGTACACAAGAAATGCTTTGGGGAGGGTGGAGACAGAAAGATAGTGGCACCAGAAAGATACAGGATAGGGACAGGAGGAAAAAGGTATATATTGATCCGATCATTTGGCAGGTGAGGGGAAGGGTAAAGTTGTCAGTCCATTTTCAGTTGAAAATTCCCACTAAATTATGAAAAAATGAGCACAGAGTGATTTTCAGTCACTGAAAACAAAGTACCATTTTCATCAAAAACTACTGGACCAATCTGTCTTTCCCTCTTACCCCAAACAAAAGAATGTGGTGTTTGAAGACAAAAATGTTACAGTCTCAGTTTTCTGAAAAAAATTGTCTGAGGAAAGTAGGCATTATCCGTGTAAGAATAATAATACCACCAATAACAGTATAGTTGAAATGCTTTTTTCACTGAAAGGTTTTACAGAAAACATTTGAGCAATTTTGTGTATTAGAAAAGCACCGCATAGGCACAGAGTTACAAACTGCAGGAAGTTAAAATGGAAGGTAATATGGTCTCTGAGGTATTAAGGCTGAAAGGCTGATTTGTTGTAGAAACAAAACCTCTGTTCTCCTCCTGTCCCACTGCACCAGCCCCACACACAGGGAAATACATACAAATACAAATTAAATACCTTTGATTTCTAAGGGCCCATCGATGTGTAATTCGGCTTTATCTTCATTCTTGCTGTTGTTTTCAGACCCTTGAATAACAGCAGTTCTTTTGTAGATGCCTCTCTTCACCTCATCAAAGACTGAAAACATGTTATAGACGCGGGCAGTGTAGCCTGCTAGCTCAGTAACCTGAGAAACAACAAATGCCTCATTTCAGTTATACTTCACAAATTCTATAAATGAAATGTTTGTCCAAAGATTCATGACAAACATTCCCAGTTATTCCGAGTCAGTGCTTCTCAACTGCTATTCTGGAAGGATCAATGATGCGTCTTTCAACACTTATCACAGAATCACAGAATGGTCGGGATTGGAAGGGACCTCGGGAGATCACCTAGTCCAACCCCCCTGCCAAAGCAGGATCACCTACAGCAAGTTGCACAGGAACACATCCAGGCGGGTTTTGAATATCTCTAGAGAAGGAGACTCCACAACCTCTCTGGGCAGCCTGTGCCAGTGCTCTGCCACCCTCAAAGTACAGAAGTTCTTCCTCATGTTCAGATGGAACTTTCTGACTTTCAGTTTGTGCCCATTGCCCCTTAACCTGTCGCTGGGCACCGCTCAGATAGTCTGGCCCCATCCTCTCGACACTCACCCTTAAGGTATTTATAAGCATTGGTGAGATCCCCTCTCAGTCTTCTCTTCTCCAGGCTGAACAGACACAGTTCCCTCAGCCTTTCCTCACAAGGGAGATGCTCCAATCCCTTCATCACCTTCATTGCCCTCCACTGGACTCTCTCCAGTAGTTTCTTGTCTTTCTTGAACTGGGGAGTCCAGAACTGGACACAGCACTCCAGATGTGGCCTCACCAGGGCAGAGCAGAGGGGGAGGATAACCTCCTTTGACTTGTTGACTACATTCCTCCTGATTTACCCCAAGATACCATTGGCCTTCTTGGGGCACATTGCTGGCTCTTGGTCAAGTTATCATCCACCAGGACTCCCAGGTCCTTCTCCGCCAAACTGCTCTCCAGCAGGTCAATTCCCAGCCTGTACTCGTGGATGGGGTGATTCCTCCATAAGTGCAGGACCCTACACTATCAATTTTCATTCTTGAGATTCTGCGCTAACCCATATGCCACCCACAGCTCCTACCAGCTAGCAGACAGAGACAGTTATCAGCGTATCTGAAAACAGAGAGCCTACCATACAAGAGAAAAACAGTATCTCTGCATTTGCCAGCAAAATAAAGGTCCACAGAAGTGAAAAAAATGGGTACCTATAATTATTTATGTTTACTTCCCTGTATTCCCAAAACCTCCTGTGGGAAAAGTGTGCTTTTCTGTGTAAAACAGGCAGCACCAGGGTACCCTAATCTAAACTACAGTACAAAAAAAGAAATGACAGTTCTGTCAACTGCATGCTAGAGTACCAGAGCTAAATCTGAGACCCTGGATTAGAATTGGGCATTTTTAAGATGGTGAGGTCTCTTAAAAGGCTTTCTCCTTTTTGGGGGGGCGTTTGTCACAATTACCACCTGGTGAAGATAGAAACAACGGATCTCTGGACCTGATAACTTCCTATTCATGGGCAGCAACAGCACCAAAAGCTCCCAAAGAACTGCCTCCATCTGCTGGCAGCAAAGAATTAAACCCAGGCATCTTATTATAAATGTATTATTAGATGGTTTTAAAAGGACGAATTTTTATACTAAATGCAGAAAGCAAGACAAGAATAGCAAGAAAATGAGTTCAAGATTATAAAATCATTAGCTTGCTGTGGTTAAACACATACATCCCATGACTGAGTCCACCTGCTATGGTGTACATAAATCCATCACAAAATCCTCTATAAATTTCACTATTTGTGCCAGATTCAGAAGTCACTGCTACATGGCCATCACTCCACTGGAGGTTAACAAGTATACAACGTGTCAAAAAACTCAGTTTAAAAAGAGCAATCACTCAATGTTTCAACTCCACCAGCTGTACACTGTTTTGCACTATTGGTAATTGCATTAACAGCTGTGAAAAGTATTGGGCTAACACCACTGGAGGCAGTAGGTAGCACACAGGAGCTCTAACATCACTCTCAATACTGGAGTCTTTCTAGCAATTTCAGTGTGAGCTTGTGCCAGGACTGACTGCTCCACTCAGCGTCGGCAGCAGCATTTGATGGAGAGAATCCTGTATATGATGAACAAAACTTGTATTAACGGTACCCCAGAAGAAACATAACTTGTAGAAAATTTCTAAACCATGACCCTACAAACTTGCTTTGTCAAAACACTAAATACTACCGCCTAAACTATTGACCTGCAAAGAAATGTTGAGCCCACCTCATCTGCATGCTGAATTACATTGACAGGAAGGAGGCTGCTTCGGTGGATCAGGTGGGCAAGAACTGGAACTTCACTATCACTTGAAGTGGACTGAAGTACACTGTCCTTTGAAAACTGCCTGAATCACGAAATGGGAATGACAATGTGCTTAAAGTACCACAGTGTCTCTTGAAGAGAAGTATAAACATAAAGTTAAGATGGAAATTCATAGAACTGGTCTTTGATCTCATGCTGCCTGGACTAAAATCTCACCATGTTATAAACAAAGTGAGTTTGTTCAGTTGTTCCTATTACTTTGTGGGTATTTTTGTTTCCAAAAAATAAAACCACTATGTTTGTAAGTCCCCACGTATATTGTATAAATGACTTAAATGTTGAAAATAAAATAGAAATTACACCACTGTATAACTAGTTATCTGGCAGTATCTTTAGAGCAGAGGCCAAGCAGGGGAACAGCTAAAGGAGCATAGGTCAAAATCACAGTCCATTAGAACTCCTTCTGAAAAAAACACAGGCTCTTGCTTTGTCAGAGTCCATATCTGAGGGTGCCAAACTACCCCTCCTCCTCCAGCTTACAAAGCTGTAGCTATTATGGCTTGATTCCAAGTAACGGAATCCATAGTCTTTGATTAGCTGCCTAGCTAATGCGTGCCTCCTTGCACTACACTGAGAAAAGGGACTCCCACCAAAGGGACGAGCAAAAACCAGTTAACATATGCAGTACCAACATTCAGAAGGAAATTTTGAGGAGAATAATAGCACTGCCTCACTGTTCTTTTGCTTAACAGCTGGCACCTAGAGAAACCCCCAAGACAGACCACAGATGAAAGCCAAACTTTACTGGAATTTGGGTAAGGACCTGAAAAAACATCTCTGATCTTCCAGATGAACATTCCATACTTCTAGATTATTTGTTCTTCTAAGCTGGATTTTTTTCCAGCTAAAATTTCTCTACTTTGCAAAATAACTTATAATTTAACAGGTTCACTAGACACTGAAAAGAACTCTACGGTTCAGGTGGCCGGGAAATAAATATTCAATTCTCTTTGGGTTTCATACAAAACATGACTGGAAGAGGTTGCCCAGAGAGGTGGTAGCTGCCCCACCCCTGGAAACATTCAAGGTCAGGTTGGACAGGGCTCTGAGCAACCTGATTGAGTTGAAGATGTCCCTACTTATTGCAGAGGGCGTTAGACTAGATGACCTTTAAAGGTCCCTTCCAACCCAAACTGTTCTATGATTCTATGAAACTTCGAATAGAAGAGTCCTGATACATTGGAGGCAGACGGCCTGAATTCAGATCTGTGCTCCAAACAAGAGGACGAACTTGAACCTTTAGCACTCACATTCCAGGAACTTCTATTGCTCTCTGATGGCACCTGACAGGTATCAAAAATGACATTTACATGTTGCACCATACTGGCAGCTGTGCACTTTAGACTCTTTGTGGACTTAACTCTAAAGATCAAACTATCGGTTCAAAGATCTCCATGGATTTAGTTGCAATAGAATGTGCCATTAAAAACTGCACCTTTTTTTTCACATTTTATATTAAATGTAAATTCTATTTTACTTTTTTTAATCTTCTGTTTCATGTAGACAGATGCACAGTACCTCTTTGTACGAAGACATAATCCTTTCAATAGCATCTGCTCCAGAGATCAGCAAGTTTCGTGATGTCGTAAAAGCTTCTGTTCTTTCACTAACCATTGCTTGTTTCTGGCCATCCTCCAATTCTAAAAGTGAAAAAAAGTTTTCTGTTAAAATATTCTTCTGAAACTTATCTTTATAAATTAAATTATGATTAGAATGTCAGCCATTATGAAGTAGCTAAAGTTAACTCTATGAAGACATCTGTCAAAAAGAACTGGTGAATGTAACTAGCAAAGATAGCTTGGTAACAAAGAATAAGTGGGAGTATATGGAATTCATCCTCTTATGCAAAACATCCTATTCTTTTATACTATTTGTCTACCTAGGAAATTTTCCTTTTAATATATCATTATTCATCTAAATTTTTCAAAGTATGAAATAAATGAATTGTAAACAATGATCTGAAACAGATTTTTAACATTTTCACTACTTTTGCAATTATTCGTTTTCATATCCTGATTTCATGTAAAAGGAAACATTCATCTTGATGGAAATTTGGCAACATGATTATATATAAGAAAGCAATAAGCTCTTTTATTATCAAAGGCATGGTTTAAGTAGGATACCTCTCACAAGACAGCAAGCAAGGAGAAAACAGCAGCAGAAATTATAGATGATAAGTGAGAAATAAATACGTTTACATTTAACATATCTTGCTATCATGTGACCTACAGATTTATACAGCATAGTCAACTTGCAAGGTTTGCTTCTCGAAGGAATCAAGATTTTAAAAGAAGTGGCTGAATATTTTAAGACTGAATGTTGTTTCAGTGTTAATACTTGCATCTACAATAAAGAAGACAACAATGTATAGTAAACCACTCTTAAAGATTTTTCACGTACAAGATTTAGAATGAAACGTCTCAAGGGTTTTCTGCATCACAAAACTTTATAAATATATCTTTATATATTGCTTAAGTCTGTTGCAGAATGGGGTCTGGATATGTTTTTGTTCTTAAGCTTGTAAAGTTTTTTTAAAGTTTCTTTTTTAAGTTAAGCTGTTGCTAAGCCTCAGGCTAGGTGGGGTAATAGTTGGATCCAGTGTGGCAACTCCTGTATTAGCAATTGTTATTAACATCTTCTGTGATGTTTGCACAGTGCTGATGGTCAAGAAAATGTAGAAGGAATTCCCTGTAGGTGTAATGTGACTGTAAATTTTATGGGCTAAGTCAAGCAATGCAAGAGTATAGCGCACAATATTCTTTTACTTGGTGAGTAACTGTCTCACCTCCCTGACAAGATCAGATTGTAGAAATCTGGTGTCTAGAAATCTACATGCAGTACCAAAGCCAGATTTATCTTTCTATCTTTATTAGTTAAATCTAAATGTTACTTTGTTTTCGTTTACACATCCATAAAGGCATCCCTACATAATTTACATCTGAATCACTGAAACACACTATGGATAGTTAAGGAAAAACTTTTTAAAAATTCTTACATCATAATTTTGCATATATATATATATACACACACACACACACCATTTACATGTTACTCTTTCTGGCCTCAGAAGTTTTTTATAACAATTATAATTAACTGAGATACATGTTCAAATTTTTTAGGTTAAATTATACAACATCAGTATACTCTCAACTAGTTGTATGTAATCTAGCCACCTGAGACACAATGAGAAGCATGCTTTTTTTAAAAAAAGACATAAAACCTCTTGCAAAGGGAGAGATTACAAACTGTTGCTCATGTAGTTCTCACTTAATTTAAAAAGTCATTTCCACTCCAAGAATAACAAATTTAGGGGACAGGGAGAATTCAGTTAATTTGTTAGTAAAAACTGAATTGAAATTTGTTTCTTACTTCTCAGAGAACCAATTTTTGCTGATCTTGTTGGGACTATAGCTTATGCAGCCCATGCTATGTAGAACCATCATAATTAAATCATTTAGGAATCAGGTATGATTTAACTACATTAACGCAGAAGTTACTGACGGCTGCTTCCAGCACCCAGGCTAGCTCATCTAGCAAGAGTTTAGAGATCTCTACAAACCACTGCATCAGTCATTTTAGGGTTATTTGAAAAACTAAAATTATACAGAATTTATGAACATTTCACTGTTCCAAAACACAAGCTCTTATATTACATGCCTAACCCACTGAGATTACTCTCCTTGAACTTTTCGTCCAAAACATTTTTCATATGGCTGGCCTCCTGTGTTTGAAGAAGTGGTGCATTGTACCAGGGCAGACAGACTGTCTGTGTTTCATACAGAATCTAACATTTCCCTTCTCATCTTCATTTCTGTAATTGATAGTCATACTTGTTTTATAAACAAAGATAAGTGTTTACCCTGCCTAGAGAAATCAAAATCTTGCTTCCAAAAGTAGTTACTTTCCACAAACTGATGAAAGACACAACATTTGGAACACCAATGGTTTAATACAAAAAACATTGAGAAATGTTATCAAATGGGAATTGGCTTTGCCAGTTAATTTCTTCCCTGAAATACGTAACTGAATTAGCAAATTTCAGTCAGAAGTATCACCATCAGAGAAGATCCTTCTTCTTTTTATTGCAGGATTTTTTTGTTATCCCCCGCCCCCAAAGAAGCACACAAAATCTACTGCTTTACATCTTTAGTCTCAGGTCTGGTCATGGTACCTCTTTTGTGCATATCCCTGGTTCTAGTGATTTATCCTGAAGTAATAAACCCACTTTCTCTTCCTTCAGATATGAAAAAACTTGCATCTGATCTGCTGAGGCACAAAGCACTGTTTTCCCAAGCAGGTCAATGGTAAGTTCAGGTCTGCTTGATTCTCTGAATACGTGTTATTCTTTGAACTGGTCTTGACAGTGTTGACTTGTCAGTATTACGTTTGTGATCCATCATTATATACACCTCAGGTCTCCATAGTAAGGCCTGTGCTTTAACAGTTTAGGTTGCTGGTGGCAAATATTCTTCTGCTTTACAACATGAGACATTGCTGCGTCTTTCTTTTCTCCCACATTTGAAAAGTATTTATCAAAAGAATACTCATGAGTAACAGGAATGTTATTTAGTTTACCATGAATACAAGTCTGTTTTTTTCATTCATGCTGTAATACCAAGGAGATATTTACAATGGGTGGTTAAACGACCTTTTTCTGGACTGTACTCATTTCCATCTTAGCAAAAAGACTCTTATCACACTTTCTGTTGTGCTGATAACCTTCATGGTGAGGTGAAATGGCTTTGTACAAACTCTTCTGTTTGGAATAGGACCTCCTGATATTTTTGAAGCTGTTGTCATGTGATGGGCAGCAGCTCAGACAGCCGAACACCCAGCCATGTACCAACACAATGGCAACTAAGCTAAACCATCGGGGGGGTTGCACAAAGTCATCCTACAGGTCGAGCCAAGCTTGTCCAGTTGGACAGCCCTGATTTGGAATATAACTACCAAGACCTGCACAGAAAAGAATTCACTCATTCCTGATTAAATGTACCCAGCTGAGAACTGATCCTTCTGCAGACATTGTAGGATCTATGTTTAAAGAATCCTATGGAATTTGTAATATATTCTATGGTTCTAATTGCACATAAGGAAGTCTGTTGAGGCAAACTTCCCCACTTGTCTTTCACTACCCTTCCTTAACTACCTTTCTTTCTGCTCTATTTTTTAATTTTTTTTAAAATAGCATCTGCAATAACAACACTACTTGAGTCTCATTTCACTTCCTGGAAAGTTGTGATAAGATGTCAAAAATTATACCATTCAAGCCTGGAATCTGAATTTCACCTTCTCTTCTCCTAGGGAGTCAGGGAAAAACAAAGGTTCCTAACAGGTCAACACATAAGAGAATAATTACCCATAATTACACTGTGGTTTATGGTAGGAGGAGATAAGTAGTCTAGGGAAGTTAATAGTACTATTTTGTAAAGTAGCAGGAGATGCGGCAAAAGTCAGCCTGCCATCCCCACGGTGGCTTGTGAAAAAGGACTGCAATTATCATTATGATCTCATGCAACACGAGCATCCTCCAAGTCCTGAAATCATGGTGTTTATCAGGCTTATGTTCAAAGTTGGATCTTGTATGTTGTTCTTTCCTCAGCTGACTTGCTATGCTTGAAAGTTATGCACAAGACACAGACACTGTAAGAAAGTCTGTGAATAATAAATAAATATGAATGGCATTGAGGGGAAGTACAGCCTTTTGAGAACATAACTTCAAAGAAACATTTAGAAATAAAGTAAAAAATCATATTACCGCCATCTGCAAATCCCGTTGCGGTGATGATGGGCACAGCGACCATAATCATACCACAGCTACTCCAGACATACTTCATCAGGAACTGCTCTATCATGATGTACCATAAACGTTTGGACAAAATGAGATTCATTTGATCTGCCAAAGCCTTGTAGCTTTTTTGCAGTTGTTTCATTTCTACCTACAGTTAAAAAATAAAACATTTATACCATGCAACAAAGGTGTACGTGCCATACAAGATATGTTCACATGTGTGCATGAAATAATCGGGTACCCAGAGCTGTGATTTCTGAGTCACATCTGCTACACGGTACTTTATTTTCACAGTGCTGCAGTCTCACAGCAGAAGTGCACAGCTTTATGGAAGTCAGTGGACCTGGTTCTTATTTACACCATCATCCCTTGATAGCACATTGGCAGGTTTTCAGCTCTTTTAAGACCTCTGATATATACAAGAACAACATAGGACATACGAGGCAGGCACAACAGCTGATTCTAACAACCAAAACAAGATTGACTCCACATCCTTCTAATAAAGCTGCAGCTGTAGTGTTTCACTGCAAATGAAACTCCTCATATTGGAAAGCATTTGGGGACCAATTATGTCCGATGACTTAAAGTTTCAGAAATGCAATGCTGCTTGTATTTGCAAGCAGTCTGGAGGAAGACAGAACTATCCCAAGAGGTTTAACAAGTCAAAGACAGTTGCAAGTCAATACGATACGATGCATTCAGTTTAAGCCAGTATATGTGGGAGTTGAAAAATTGTTTAATTTAGCTGCACTTAAAACATTATCATAGGCAGCTTTTGAGAATGATTGCTTCTACCAAAATAAACCATTTACATTATATAACCATTGCTGGGACTGAAAAAGTAATACTTCAGGTTGATTTCCAGCCTTCATTTTCACCTTACATGAAACAACTTTCTTTTCCAAATCATGTTTGAAAGGTCTTACAGTAAAAATTCACTTCTAATAAAAATATGAAGAGTTGCTTAATAAGATGGCTTTAAAACAAGCCATTAGTTTATGTAACTCTGACTGCTGAAATACTGTACTTAAGCTATTTTAAGACTCTGATGACTACATCTTTGCTTAGCTATGTAAAAGAGTGTCAAAGGTTGTAGTGCTCTCTGTGCTATCGCAGAACTATCCCCTAGACTTTCTGGTGTGCCTCGGTTGCTATTTCTGCAGCATTAAATCTGGTAGCTCATAGACATCGGTGAAAAAAAAAAAAAAAGCCTGGAAAAGTTAAGTGGAATGGACTGGGTGGGGGAAAAACAATAACGGCAATTAGCTTTCTAGAAAAGCATAGGATCCAGCTGCAAAACAGGAACATTGTCAGAGCACAGGGGAACTACGGTCCACTCCCCCCAGATACCGCCTCTGAGGCGGCATTTTCCTAAGAAACGGGAAGTGCTAGCTGTAAACAGGTTTAAATGTCAGAGGGACCCAAAGAGCTCAGGGAGGGCAGCAGAGGAAGCACAAGTTGGCTTTGGCACTGCAGGAGAGAGTCCAACATCCTCCTATTTCTCTCCGCCTTACCTTATGCCCTCGGTAAAAGGCGATCTCTTCCACATTGGCAATGATGCGTGAATGCATGAAGCGCAGATAGCCCTTCTTGTGAGCCTCCTCAGCCACCAGCTTGCCAAACTTGGGCGAGCAGGCTTTGAGAACGCGGGCCGTAGCGTAGACGACAAGCCCAGCCAGGACCGTGGGCCCGATGGGGTTAGCCCCTCGGGACCGTGCTGTGCGGATGAGGGTGTAGGAGGTGAGCACGACATCTAGGATGGGCTTGGTGAGGTTGGAGTAGAGATGCGCCACAGACTGTGAGAACATCATGATGTCCTCGGTGAGGGACTGGTCAGGGTTAGCCAGCCGGCCGTCCATGCTGATCACTCTGTAGTAAGTCTGGTTGGCAAAGTAGGTCTCGTAGGCGTGATCCACCAGGCGCGTGCGGAAGGCGAGGGCCAGCTTGCACTCCAGGTACCGTATGGTGCTGTTCACAAAAGTGGCTGGGATCGCAATCATCAGCCATTTGATTAGTTTGAAGACAAAGCTCCTGGGCTTTTTTTCCACGATGCTTTTCACGATCTTCCCATCGAGGGCGGCCACATAGATGGAGAGGAAGGTCCTAGAAACCAGAGCGACCGAGTGAAGGCAAAGCAAGCCCAGCTCGGCGCTCACCAGCTTTGGGAAGAACAGCTTGCGAAGTTCCAGCAGCTGCTTGAAAAATT